ATTAATTCAAAGTGACAACAATAATTAATTAACGTATCTTAATAAATGCAAAATGTAAAAAAATGGGGCAATTTACTTAAACTTCATATTTTTAAATAATTAAATAATTTTAATAATAAACAATAATTAGCAAAAAAAGCAATTTTTATTATTTTATGATTATTATTTTACTTTCAATTTTTTTTCAAAGCCGCTCTTGTAATGTTTATGGGTTTGTGGAACTCTCCTCGTCGTTGGAAAAATTTCCTGATTTGAATTCTCGCGGGTGAATGACCATCGCCAGCTTTAAATTTTGGAAAAAATTCGAGTGAAATCTATAATTAGTAGTAAAAAATCTCGCTACCGGTTTCATATTTAAAAGTTGTTGCACTCGAATCAACAAAACTCGAAGATAACGCTCGACTTTCATCAGTAAATCGCTTAATTACCTGGATTAGCACCGTCTCTAAACACTTTTGGTTGGTTCTTGTAGAGCATGAAGTAGTGAATGTGGGCCATCTCGTGGTGGGCGGTGATCAGATCTTTCATGTTGATATTTGTGCACATTTTGATTCTAAAATATGGAACCAAAATTAAAACTGAAAAAATTGGTTCAGTGGAAGGTACCGAAAATCGCGACGGTTGCAGAAGTCCCAAGCCGACGGCTGGCACAGAACCACCCGATCGAGGGGTTCCTCAAGGACGGAACCTTGCCAGAAGTCGAGAGGCATGGCACTCATGTTGAGAGAGACGAAAAAGTCTTCAGCGAGACGAAAGATGTCGAGAGGGGTGTAGCCCTGAAATTTTTGACTTTGTTTTAAATTTTTGTTTTGTTTTTTAGATTATTTTAAATTTTAATTATAACAGAATAATAAAATAATTGTTATAAATGGCTTTTAACGACTTTAGCATAGAAAAAAGGATAGCAAAATTGTCAAAATTTTTTGTCAATTTTTTTATTTGAAAAAAAAGTTTTAATTGTGGATTTGTAGACCGTTAATGCTCGTGGAAACATAAAAAATTGCATTTCTAGTTTTCTAGTTTTGTATTTGTTTTTTTAAACTAGCAAAAATAGTACGATTTATATCATTTTTGACCTCTCAGTTTATTACTTTTGAGTAAATTTTAATTATAATTTAAAGAATTTTAAAATTTATGATTATATGTACTATATTCAACAATTGTCAAGATTTGGCAAAAAAAACAAATGTAATAATATTTGGTTTATTTCCATTTATTGTTGCTACTTATTTTTG